CACTGCACCGCTGCACAGTGGACCAGGAGACCAGTAAAACTGGCCAAAATTAATATCTCGTAAAATATGTGAACATATGTAATACTGTTACACTTATATAAGGTTTTCGGTATCGCTCATTCATTTCTGATGTCAAAATTTTGAAATTTAATATGGTGGAGCAAAATTTAAAAAATGACTTGATTTGGATGAAACTCGGTACTCGGGGGTTTCTAGGGTCGCTGATTACAAATGTAAGCTGAAAATTTCGACATTTAAAATGGCGGATTTAATATGGCGAACCAAAATGTGAAGTGTCTTGATTTAGATGAAACCCGGTACTCGATGATTTTTGGAGTCACAGATTACAAATCTGAACTCAAAATTTCGAAATTCAAAATGACGGATTCAATATGGAGGCTAATATGTTAATTATGTCTGGATTGATATGAAACCTGATAATTGAAGATTTTCGATGTGATAATTAACACCAAAAATTTTAAATTTAAAATGGCGGATCCAATACAGTAAAATAAAACATGGAATTTTGTAATTGAAATGCCGGCAGTTTGTCTACATTTTACTTTAACCTTTCATGTAAAATAGGTTAAAAGAAAGCTTTCAAAACTGCATGAAAATTTTAGTATAAAGGATATGAGGTCACTGAATTCGAACCTGATATCATATTTTCAAAAATTCAAGATGGCGAATGCAATATGGTAGACCAAATGCACATAGTGACTTCATTTGGATAAAACTCGGTAGTTGGGAGTTCTTCAGGTTACTAAATATAAATTTAAATAAAAATTCAACAATTTAAAATACTAGGTCCAATATGGTAAACCAGAAAAGTCAGTGAATGTTTTAGTTTTGAATATGAATTCGAATGTAGCGACTACGAATACCTATCAATATCAATTTTCACTACGAACAGAGCACTTTTAGCATTTCTGCTCGCCATTTCTATGTGTTCTATAAGAGCAGCTGCCACCAGCTGCCACCATTCATAATTTATGAAGATATTCGCGAGATACTGCGTACACGCTTGTGCACAATGGATCAGCAGATCTAAGAAAGTGGCTAAAGACAAAAAGTGCTTCCATCGTCGTGAAATTTTATACTTCTAGGATTTCGCTGTGTCCGAATCTAAACTTAAAATTTAAAAATCCAAAGTGGCAGGTCCAAATCAGGACATTTTAAATTTCTAAATTATGTGTTCAGAATCGAATTCAGTGACCCCTAAAACCTACCAGTACCAAATTACACAACGATCGGAGCACTTTTAGCATTTCCATCTGCCATTTTGGACTTGCCACTTTGGATTTTTAAATCTTAAGTTTAGATTCGAACTCAGCGACCCCGAAAACCTACATAAAATTTCACGACGATGGAAGCACTTTTTGTCTTTAGCCACTTTCTTAGATCTGCTGATCCGTTGTGCACAAGCGTGTATGCAATATCTCGCGAATATCTTCATAAATTATGCATGGTGGCAGCTCCTTTTATAGAACACATAGAAACTAATACTCAGCATCTTAAACGTGAAGATATGCGCTCAACTTCGCGCAATTTTTGTTGCAAAAAATGACATTGTGGTAAATATTCAGAAATGTATGCGTATAATGTTCCGCCATTTTATCTGTTTACATTTTAACATGCTTCAATTTAAATGACAAAATGATAATTCTTGTGACTGATGGAGGAGTAAATATGATCAAAGCAGCAAAATGTATGAAAATTAATAGAATACCTTGTATTGCACATAGACTCCATAATTTAGTGATGGTGGATACTTTTTCCAAATTACATGAAGTTAATAAGCTCTTAATTTTAAAACTCAAGTTCTCCAAGAAATAAAAAGTACAGAAACAGGAAATCAATAACCTGCTTGATAAAACTGAAAACATGGAAGAACTACAAGAAGCTGATACAAGATTTAGTCCTGTTATGACGAAAATTAATAAGGAACATTTATATGCACGGAAGTTTCCTTTGTTTGAGACATGGGATTACATAAAGATATACCAACAAGGTGGAACAATACACTAGAGATGTTGATAAGTTTACTTCAAAATAAAGGTAAGCTAAGGTTCCAGATAGCATACTCTTACGAAAAAAACACTCAATTTTTTGTGTAAAAATAATTTAGATGTCTTTTAGACGTCACATGTCCTATTTTTGGACATATATGCTGTCTGGGGTATGATATGCTTTCACTTGTGTGTTTATTCTCTAATCATATATATATATATATATATATATATATATATATATATACATGTATATATAATATATATATATATTATACATATATATATATATATATATATATATATATATATATATATATATATATATATATAAAAGATATACATGTATACTTATCTTGAATAAACATATATATTACTTATAAAAATGTTTTTTTAGAGATAGTGATATGTTATCTAGAAATAAATAAACGGTATGATGCTATCCCCACAAACAGTGAATGGAAAGAAATGAAATATATAGCAGATTGCTTAACAAGCATAAAAACAGCAACAGAGATTCTTTCTGGTGTAAAATATTCAACGGTCAATCTTGCACTTTTATTTAGGTTTGTAATACAATTATTAGATCTAACGGCAAACATTAATATTTTACTGAATGCTATTATATCAATTTTTTTTCAATTTTTACAGGGCAGAAATTGAAAGTAGTATAAACGAGGACGATTCATCCACAATAAAGCAGCTTAAAACTCATATTATAACAAATCTAAATAAAAGATTTCCAAGTCATGAAATTCATGTTTGTGGTGCACTTTTAAATCCAACACTTCGGAGGAATGTAAGAGAAATTGCTGAATAGCTTACAGAAAAACAATAGTCTTCTGAAAAGTTTTTGAAAAGTTTACATGATTGATAAAATGGTTTCTTTGAATATTTCAGATGAACAGGTAAAATTATTTTTATATTTCGAAAATTATCAGGACCTTCAATAAGTTCTCGCTGTTTTCCAACAAATGGCGTTACCAGCTGCGTGCGTGTAGTTTAAGATGGTAACGCATCTATAAAGAAGTACTATAAGCAAGCTTGAAATTAAGTGTATGTCATTTCGCCGAAGTGTAAACAACTTTTTTTTCATAGTGTTAAATATGTCGAGTTTCGTGCCAAAAAAAGAGTATTTGCGGGGAATTTTACTGCACTACTTTATTCAGAAAAAATCTGCAGCTGAAGCACACAGAATTCTTGTTGAGACTTACGGCGACCATGCTCTGTCGGAAACAACATGCAGAGATTAGACGCTTCAAAAATAATGATTTTGATGTTGAAGATAAAGAACGTTCTGGCGCACCGAAAAAGTTTGAAGACGAAGAATTGGAGGCATTACTTCATAGACTCATGTCAGACGCTAGCTGAACTTGCAGAATCATTAGGAGTTGATCACACAACAGTTTCGAAACGTTTAAAAGTATTAGGAATGATACAAAAGCAAGGACATTGGGTGGCGTACGAGTTGAAGCCGAGAGACGTCGAACGGCGTCTTTTCACGTGTAAACAGCTGCTTCAATGGCAGAAAAGGAAAAGTTTTTTGCATTTTATAGTGACTGACGATGAAAAGTGGATACACTACGATAATCCTAAGCGTAGAAGATCGTGGAGTAAACCCGAGCATGCATCAACATCGTCGGCAAAGCCGAATATCGATGGTTCGAAGCTTCTGCTCTGGGTGGGATCAGCTGAGTGTAGTTTATTATGAGCTGTTCAAACCAAACGAAACCATCACGGGAGATCGCTATCGACTACAATTGATGCGTTTGAGCCGAGTATTGAAGGATAAAACGGCCGCTATACGAACAGAGACACGACAAAGTGATTTTGCAACATGACAACGCTTGGCCACATGTTGCACAACCTGAAAACCTACTTAGAAACGCTTAAATAAAAAATCCTACTCCACCCGCTGTATCCACCAGATATTGCCCTTTTCGATTATCACTTGTTCCGATCGATGACATATGGCCTGGCTGAGCAGCACTTCCATTCTTATGAAGATGCTAAAAAATGGGTCGACTCTTGGATAGTCTCAAAAGACGTGTTTTTTTTCCGGCGTGAAATTCAAATGCTGCCAGAAAAATGGGAAAAAGTAGTGGCTAGCAATGGACAATACTTTCAGTGACATGTTTTTTACGACTTTTTTTTTAAATAAAGCATTAATTTTCACGAAAAATCAGCGAGAACTTATTCAAGGTCCTAATACAATAAGTGTAGTGTGCTTTAAGCCGTAAGAAATTGACTAATCACGATTGATTATTCTTCTATAATTCGGTAAATTATAATAGGTAAATGATTGATAAATTTTTTAAAGCTTAAAGCTTACTATATCTGTTGTAGATCAAGACTAATCCATTTGCGCTGCACGACGAATATTGCTGCGTCCTATATGTAAAAACTATTAAAAGAAAAAAAATATTGTGACACCGCCATTCACCGCCGACGCTGTCAAATTTGTATACGCCGATCCCGCCACCGCCGATAACGACAATTTTTGGTGACGCCGCCGCTACCGACCAATTTTAGTTCCGACGCCGCCGCCAATATTTAATGTAACGGCGCAAAAGACCCGTGAGGTTCCCCATTAGACTTTCCCTGTTCACGACCAAAATTTATACGATTTTCGTGATTACCGTTCGTGGTGAAGTGATATGGCTTTACCATATCTGACGCCCAACTTAGTGTTTTGAAAGTCGTGATCTTGATAGGCCGGCAGTAATTTGCCGAAGCGGCAGATAGACAACTGTCCGCTTTTGTGCTAAGAAAAAGCGTGGCTATAAAGACTATATGTCTTTAAGACATCAACGTCTTAAAAACATTTAAAATACGACATTTTTTAGACAACTTTTAGTAATGTCATAAAGACGTCTTTTAGACATGCTTGTTGCGTAAGCTATGATTGGATTTATCGTTCTGAGAGAAATATCGCAAATGTTAATATCTTTAAATATTTATTGAAATTATTAATACTTTTTTATACTATTACTATAACTAAATTATATAATATTTTCGGATTTTAAATATTAAAATGTGGAGTTTTTTTTATTGTAAATATAATTGTTAATATTTATGATTATAAATTAAATTAAGTTAAAACATAATTCCTCTTGCAACTACTTTATTCTTGATTCGGTAGGCAACATTACTGCCATTTCCTGAGCAATGACTTCAGAGTCCTCACATTGCAAATTCAAATTTGAGAAATCTTTATGACTTGAACGTGTCATTTCCACTACTTCCTTCATTTTAATATTGAAAGAGTTTTCAAACTCTCTGTCAGATAACGCATCGTCTGAAAGACAAACAATTAATGTATAAAATGCCTTATTTAATTTGAGTATTTTAAATACCTCTACTGCTTTTAATGGTATAATAAAATGGCAAAAAAGATAATTGTCCTTTTCAAAGAGGTAAATTTTGTCATGATGTAATAATAATTTTCAAGGTCACATTTTTTAAGATTTTAATATTGTTATTTCTGAATGGATGACATAATTTTTTTATTATATTGTAGTTAGTAAAGAAACAATTATATCGTGTATAATACATTAACTGAGAATAAAGAAATTTAATCATATATTAACTAATTCAGTAAACACATTTTTCTATATTCTAATTTCCAACAATTTACAAACGTCTCTGCTTTATATATTATATTAATTATAAAAATTAATAATTTTACGCTTTCGTTTACTAGAGTTGATTCAATTTTAACATTTTCGTTGAGATAAGATTACTAATTTTGCTAAATTGTATTTATTTGCGACATAATGATACTATATATGTGTATCACACATACAAACAAAACAAATAGATCCATTTCTAATATATGAGGTTGGAAGAAACGCCATATAAATTCCAAATTGAAGAACAGAAAAATGTGTGTTTTAATATTGATCAATATATAAATAAGATTTTTTTGTATAAATGTGTTCTGAATGTTAACATATACAATATACCAAAGTCGTAGTTATATTTATACTCAGACAGCACACACCTCTAAGGGACGTGTTGTAAATGTCCTGAACACGTATGTCATTATATCTTCAGAATGTCTCCAAGACGTTTTCAAGACGTCCTTTCAAAGTTTTGACTAGGCAATTATTGGGGCATTAATGTGTGCATCAATTTTAAAGGATTTTCAAGAGATAGCGTAACTATTACTATATCGCATCGAGCCATATTGTTGCTACCTTTATGTCAAAGCATCATCATGTGGCTTTAGTTTTCAGTATATATCATTTTACCGAAGTGTAAACAACATTGTTTTTTTGAGCATTGAATATGTCGAATTTTGTGCCAACAAAACGCAATTTGCAGGAAGCTTCGCTTTTTTACTTTCATTTGAAGAAAAGTGCTGCTGAAAGTCAACGAATGCTGTCGGAAGCTTATGGTGGTTATATTTCATCGATTTCAACATGTGAATACTGGTTTCGACGCTATAAAAAAGGTGATTTTGACACGGAAGATAAGGAACGTCCAGGCCAGCCCAAAAATTTTGAAGATGAGGAAGTGAAAGCTTTACTCGATCAAAACCCGAGTCAAACGCAAGAAGGACTTGCAGAATCATTAAATGTTGATCGATCAACGATTTCCAGACGTTTGAAAGCCATTGGAATGATTCAAAAGCAAGGAAATTGGGTGCCGAGTTGAAGCCGAGAGACGTTGAAAAGCGCAAAATGACTTGTGAATTGTTGCTTCAAAGATACAGAAGAAAAATTTTTTGCATCGTATTGTGACGGGTGATGAAAAATAGATATGCTACAATAATCCGTAGCGCAATAAATCATGGTGCAGGCCAGGCGAACCATCAACATCGACGGCAAAGCCAAATATTCATGGCGCCAAGCTCATACTCTGTATTTGGTGGGATCAGCTGTGTGTAGTGTATTATAAGCTGCTCCAATCCAACGAAACCATCACTGAGGAACGCTACCAACAACAATTGATGCAATTGAGCCGAGCATTGAAGCAAAAATGGATTACACCAGACACGACAAAGTGATTTTCCAGACAACGCTCGGCCACATGTTGCGAAACCGGTCAAGGAAACATTAGTATCGCTTAATTGGTATGTCCTACCATACCCACCGTATTCTCCAGATATTGCTCCTTCCGATTACCACCTATTTCGATCGATGACACATGACCTGTCTGAGCAACGCTTCCATTCTTATGAGGATATCAACAAATGGGTCGATTCGTGAATAGCCTCAAAACGTGGCCGTTCTTTCGACGTGGAACCCACCAGAAAGATGAGAAAAAGTAGTAGCTAGCGATGGACAATATTTTGAATGATTAATTTGTAACCATTTTTTCACAATAAAGCCTTGTTTTTACCAAAAAATCCCTTAAAATTAATGCACACTCCTAATATAATGATATAATAATATAATAAAATGTTAATCAATTAATGTTAATGTATTCAATTAAAATAAAAACAATAATAATCTCGAGATCTCAAAAAATGTGATCTTAAAAAGAATTTTTTTGTTATAATATTTGTTAAAATAATAATAATAATAATAACATTAGTTCTTTAACAAAAAATAATTACCTTCATCATTTTTTCGTATAATTAAAAAATATCAGACATATTTATTGAATACAAAATGTCCTCTGTATAATTACTTATTATAATTAATAATTATTATTGATATTATTTCATAATATTAAATATTTTATGTACAAATGCATACCATGAAAAACATCCGTGATACTCTCTTCATTTTCGATCAAACGAATATACTTGTTATCAGCGAGTACGTTGATACGATTTATGATATTGGAATTAAGATGCAACAACCAGAATCGGTTTCTTTCATGATTGAGCCTCGTTGATAGCGTTTCGATAGCCTGTGAAATTCATGGATTTTATAAAGACATTTATAAAGACAATCATAAGTCATCATATGTTCAAAAAATTATTTACGTATTTTGTATTGTAAAAAGACTACCTTGATTGCAGTATAATCGATATTAAGGAATCTCTCACAATTCACGATCAATGGAACATTATTTTCCTCATTTTTCACTATGCTCATTACTTTATCAGTAAAGAAAGCTACTGCAGGATAATAAAGACACATGTCGAGCTCCAATATTACGTATTTATTTCCTAAATTAGTCTGAAAAGAGGTTATTATCACATGCGGTGTGTAAATATTGAAAGAATTATCTTACTTATTATATCATAATAATTGATGCATTCGTTTCTGTTATTTAATCCTTGTCAAACACAACATAATACTTTTCAAATAGTGAAATCGGCGAAGCTACAATAGTCGCAACTGCGATATATTTACGCAGAATGTTCAGTACACTGAATATTTAATATTGATACTACAAGTTCACCGACTTTATAGGCGTAACAACAATCTATTTCGCAATTAAGTTCTAGTTCTTTATCGTGGTCATCCTGATTGATAATAACAGAAATGAGAAATATATGCATAATATTCATTTAAAATAATACGATGAAATAAAGATATTTTTGTAAATAAAGAATAATTATTAGATTTGGTTTTCGAGTTTGAGCCATGAAATGACGTTTCGCGAACATTTCAATCCGCTTCATCAGGGAGGGACGACCTGGCATCGGGTGGTTCCTCCCTGATAAAGCGGACTGAAATGTTCGCGAAACATCGAAATCAAACAAAGATGAATCCACACAGCTCAAACCCGGAAACCAAATCTAATATGCATGGACACCGCGAAAACCTAAAAAATCAAATAAAGAATAATACTAACGATCAATTATGATTTGTAAAATATTATATTATTAACTCGATATTGATTAATATATGATCTATTTACTAACAATAAGTGATTTTGTCACATTTTATGGCTATAATTTCATTGATTATTAAAATAAAAGAAAGAGTTTGCGGAATAAATATTGTAAAATATCAGATACCCTTATAGAAATATCATACTAAGAATCATTGATAATTACTTATTATCCAGTATTTTTAATACTGAAAATAAATAATTATCAATGATTCTTAGTATGATATTTCTATAAGAGTATATAATCGATTGGAGACGAAAAAAGCTAATAAAAGTCGATACAAAATATTAATTACAATATTAAGCAACCACTACTTCTCAACTAATGAAACAATTTTTTTTTAATGTTTAACAATGTTTTCAAAAACATCCTCGAAATATTTTTAAAAACATTAAAAATAATAATTTAAGTTCCTTCTTTTTTTTAACATTTGATTTATTTGTTTTAACGTTTAGAGAAACGTTTTTCCAATATTTAAGAAACATTTATCTAAGATGAAAATAATTTTATATATATTTTTTTAATAAGTATATTTTAAAGATATGTTTAATTATTTGACATTTTATGTTAATTTATGTGTTACCTAGTCGTATTGATAAATATTCCGTAAAAATTTTTGAAAAAAAAGCTAAAAAGAATCAGACTTGATCGCGCAACAATGTACAGTATTCCAGCCCTCTGCTGCTCTGTTACGTTTGTTAGTTGCTGAACTATTCTTCGTAAGTAGTACTTACGATGTGCGAAAATCTTCATATGCAAATATCTCGTGAATACTTGATAGTGCGTCGTGCCACTTGCCCGGTACTGCATTCATTGATTGGGGTTAAATAATGTATTAAAATTTCAGTGCGAAAACAGTAAGGGGAAAATTATTCTCTTGTGAATACTGATTTGGACATTTTAATAAAAATATTTAGTATTATTTCAAATGATTAATTAAAGTAAGATAGGGTTGAATAAGTTAACTTTTTTTTCACTAAGTTAAGTTAAAGTTAATGGCTTTGAAAATTTAACTAGTTAAGATAAAGTTAACTTAATGAAATTAATTAAATTAAAAATTAAGTTAATAAAAAAAAATTAAAATGTTAAAAATTAAGTTAGTTTCATTTCATGACTTCAAGATTTTAGTTTTAAAAAATAACAGAAAAAACAAATATACATCTTATTTGGAAATATAATGTTTTATTTACAAGTACCGTAAGATAGGGTTACTTTGTAAGTGTAAGGGTTACTTTATGACACATTGAATATTGGTCAATAGTGATAATTATCACTATTGACCAATATTCACTGTGTCACAAAGTAACACCTACAGTCACAAAGTAACCCCATCTTACGGTACTTATTAAATTTAAGTAATAAAGTTTTTTCGAAATGACCCGGTACTAATCATATGAAAAAAGTGGTTTCAGTCGAATTGACTGAAACTATAATATTTTGTAGCTTATGAGGTGCTGATCAAAAATGTTCAACAGAAAGTGTGAAAAAATAGACAGTGTTTTTTCTAGCGCCATTACAAATTTGCTATTTTAGGTCTAACTGAATCTTTATCACAGATTACTTTTTTAACTGTATAAGCATTTATATATAACCATACGTATGTTCATTATTGAATAGATTAATGTCTTTGGTAATAAAAGTTTATAGAGCACGATAGAATAAAATGATCATTTTCTATCGTTTTGAATACGGATTTTGGTTCGTGAATTTACAAAATGTGAATAGTATTCTATCGTATACAATAGAATACAATAGATAAAATTTCTATCATTAGTTTCCTGTAGAATACAAAATCGTGTTTACTAGATAAAATATGATAAAATACGATTGCCAAATAGTCACTAAAACCTCGGAGAAGACTAATGGCATGATGAAAGTGTCACCAAATTAAGGAGAAAAAAAAAGATAAAATACGATAGGATTCATATCTGAACTTGCGAGCGAGAACGATATAGCTTAAAGAAATCAAATTGATAGCGATATCAATTTAAATCGTTTTTTTAAAGCTGTATCGTTCGCGCTCGCAAGTTCAGATATAAATCCTATTGTATTTTATTTGGTTATACACGATTTTGTATTCTATAGGAAACTAACAATAGAAATTCTATCACTATTCTATTGTATTCTATTGTATACGACAGAGCTCGAAATTAATTGCCCATTTCGGCCGATTCTCAAGAGCTACGCTTTCTATCTTCCCCTTGCCGCGAGCGGGTCACAAAAGTGACGGTCGAGCCTTCAAGCTTGAAGCCGCGACTGACCGCGACCGTCATTTTCGTGACCCGCTTACGGCAAAGAGAAGATAGAAGGCGTAGCTCCCGAGAATCGACCGAAATGGGTAACTAATTCCGAGCTCTAGTATACGATATAATATTATTCACATTTGTGAATTCACGAACCAAAATCCATATTCAAAACGATAGAAAACGATAGAACTATAGGATTTTATTCTATCGTTTCTCTATAAACTTTTTTAACCCGCCCAACACACACACACACGTACGCACGCATACACACACATATGTTTTGGACGTAATAATGTCAGACATACTAATAGAATAATTATCGATACAAATACACACATACCAATACACATCCATATTACACCCCCTTTCCCACACCACATACATACACTGAAACATGAATCTATTCAATAATGGACACACGTATGATTATATATAAATGTCTATAGAGTTAAAAAAACAATCTGTGTACTGTAAATAAATATTCAGTTAGACCTAAAGTAGCAACTTTCTAATGGCGTTAGAAAAAAAAAACTGTCAATTTTTTCACTTTTTATTGAAGATTTTTGATCAGCACCTCATAAGCTACAAAATATCATAGTTTCAGTCAATTCGACTGAAACCACTTTTTTCATATGATTAGTGCGGGATCCTTTTTATTGGACATTTTTATTCGAAGATTGTAAAAAATGAGCTCTCCTGCACTGAACAGCCGTTTGACGTTTCGCGACACCTTTATGGCATGATTAACTTCAAGATCATTGAATTAAAAGTTAATAGTTACCGATGAAATGTAACTAAGTTAAGTTAAAAGTTAAGAGTGTAAAAATGTAAATAAATTAAGTTAAAGACATTTAACTTTTTAACTTTTTAACTCGTTACTACCCAATCCTGAATAAAATAAATATTAATGTTGAAAAAATGTGAAATCAGCCTTTTCTTCACATCATTTGTGCAAGGTGATAATTAATATAACAAAAATCATGTAAACGTTAAATAAACATTACATAAATATTTTTCTATTAGAAACATTATTATAAATAAATAATTAACATAATATAAATGTTTAATAAACATTAAATATATATTATTTGCAAATATTATTTACAATGCATTATACAATGCATAAATAATAAAAATTAATATTTAAAAAACATTTAAGAAATATTTTTTGCTGATTGGAATTGTAAATTAATAATTAATTTGACATAAATATTAAATTAACGTTAAAGAAATGTTATACAGGGTGTTCGGAAAGTACCGGGACGCCCAAATATCAGGAAAAATATAAGTTTTACAAAAAAATGTTTCAGACAAAAGTTGTGGCGTTTAAAAAGATGTATTTACTGATCACATCAGTTTGACCTTGGGTTGCGTAGCGAAGGTCAGGTCAAGGTCACATTAATTTTTTTAAATGGAA